AAGAAACCAACTACACACGGGTAACTTCAAACCAACTTCCAGACTTTGACGTATGGGTGCCCTGTATTTGCCTTTGGCTGCTCTATGCTTTTGTGGCTAAGAGGGAAAAAGAAAAGAACTGAAGTCAGCTAAGACCTGGCGCACTCAGACATCAACTCAAAGAAAGCCTGCAGAATCTAGTCAAGCATGTTTTAGAACAAGCTTTTCAAGAATGGACATGCACAAAAGAAGCCAGCTCATCTAGCAGTAGCCTGTCACTGCCATAAGCCCCAACTCCCCTCACACAATGTGGCAACTTCCACTGAAATAAACATGACCACTGCTCAGTCCTATGCTAAGGGACGGAGCATCCCTCTTCTCACTGTCCAATCACTAGCTTCTCCTCTCTCCCTTCCCACCTATGCTCCTCCTACCAACCAATGGGAAGGCAGACTTGAACTTTAGTTCCAGATTTCCTTGCTGGTTGACAGCGCAGCAAAGCAATTTCTTTTTGCAAAACCCTGGTACCACAGTGTTGGATTCTAAGTGCTTCAGGCATCAGCCTGGGCTCCATGACAGCCCTCTGTGATATGAGTATTTAGAACAGGAAATCTGGGGTGTTTTTGTTAAATGCCAACCATTTTTAAGTGTACAGTCAGTTGTAATGGGAATATTCACTCTTTTGAAAGAGATCACCAGAATTTTTTCTTGTAAAAGTGAGACTGTACTCGGACCAAATAACAACGCCTCCTTTTCCCTGCTTGGCCCCTGGCCAACCCCTTGCTGCTTTCTGTTCCTATGAACTGGGGTCCTCTGGATACCTTGTATTAGTGGACTCATATTTGTCTTTCTACAAGTGGCTTACTCCACTTAGCATAACATACTCCAGGTTCATCTGTGGGTGCATGTGGCAAGACTGCCAAATTCAAAGGCTGAATACTCCTCTGCTGTGGGCCTGATTGCATTTTGTCTATCCATGTCTGTCTCATGTTTAGGTCAACACTGGGTTGCTTCCACCTCTTGGCAATAAGTAGAGGTGTGCAAACATTTCTTCAACCCCCTAGATCCATATGCAGAAGGACTGCTCAATCACACGGTAGCTTTATTTTATTTTATTTTATTTTATTTTATTTTATTTTACTTTATTTTATTTTTTGGTGGAACTGGGGATTGAACTCAGGCCCTTGCGCTTGCCAGGCAAGTGCTTATTCCACTGAGCCATCCCCCCGGCCCCACAGTAGCTTTATTTTTAGCTTTTTGAGAACCGCCACTTTGTTCTTCGTAGCAGTTCTGAGTTGCTGTTCACTTTTGCTCTTAGATCAGCATAATCTAGAGAGATTACCCTGGATTATCTGGGTAGGCCCCACATAATCAAGAGCTCTGAAAGCAGAGAAATGTCTTCTGCTGGAGGTAGAAGAGGAAGGTGGAAGAGGGATGTCCAGAAAGGAAAGGCTGAGATTTCACGAGTGAGCACTCGATACACCCTGGCTGGTTCCAGGTGCTGCAGCCAGAGGCAAGGGACTGGCGGAGGGCCCTGGGAGCTAGATCAGGCCCTGCAAGTGGCAGAGGTCTCAGTGCACTACTGCCATCCACCACCTACGCAGTCTAGGAAGAGGATTCTCCCCACAGTCTACAAAAAGGAAGGCAGCTCTGTCAAGTGCCTTTCTTTAGTGAGCTGAGGCTCATTACTAGCCTCTTGCATACAGGATATTGACATAATACAGAGAAAACATTTTAACTGTTAAATTTGTGGTGAATTCTTATGGCTGCAACAGAAAGCTCATCCTATCCCGCACTTGCCTGGGTCTCTCCCAGCCCGAGGTATCTGCTAGAGCCCAACTAATCCTGTATCCATTTCCTCAGAGGGCAGGGCTAGTGTTTCGGAAAGGCTGTTTTGCTTTCCCATCTGATTCCAGAGGTCCACCAAAAAGTATGCACCCCAGACTGCAAGAGGCAAGGTCAGCTTCCAGGCCAGGAGCCGAGAATAATGTGGGGTCGGGCAAAGCCGCCCTCAGCCCACCTCCCTGCACTGCTCTGCCAGCAGCAGGACAGCTCCGCTTGCTAAACTCCCTTTGTTCCTTACTTCTAAAGTATTTACTGAGTTTTTAAAAAGTCACCTATAATCCCAGCACTCGAGAGGCTGAGGCAGGAGGCTCGCTGCAAGTTTGAGGTCAAGCTGGGCTACACAATGAGTTCAAGGCCAGCGTGAAGTGCACAAGGAGACCCTGTCTAGCAAGCAAATCCGAGAGTATAGCAGGTAATACACTGAACAGTACTTGTGCCCTATCTTTACATTTCCAGAAAGCATCCAACGCAGCCTGATTACATATCCTTTTTCCTTCTTTTAGTCAGAATCATTTTGTGCATACTAGTCTGTATTTTCTGTTTAGTACATACAGAACTGATTTTCTATTTTCCCCCATTTCCTTTAATCATCATATTAAAAAGGCTAAAATTATAAACAAGTACAAAGGAATATCCCTTTATTTTTCAAATGTAAGTCTCTATGATGCATACTCAAAAGTGGAACTTACTGGGTTCAATAACAAATGCACGTAAACCCTGAAAGACAATGGCCACTTCTTGTCAGAGAGCACAGACTCGCTGTCCCATGAAGGGAGCATCAGTCTGTGTTTCGCCCAGTCTCTGTAACACGGGTTGTGCTGCACTCTGTTCACGTTTACTTTCTTCCGTAGGAAATGCTTTCTCTTTATGTCACCTACATTTCTCTTATTCTCAGTGAAGTGCAGCATTTTTCTGTGTTCACTGGGTATTTATAAATCTTTTCATGTCCTATGTAGGTGTCTTGCAAATCTTCCATCATGTTCAGTTGTTTTTTTTTTAATCCAGGAGATTATTTATTTTTTTTATTTTTTTTCCACAATTTTATTGATAAACAAATAGCAGTGAGACAGTTTCAAATCAAATTGGTAGGACAGTTTCAATAATTAACACATTGCATACATTCTTCCTAGTGGTTAATTGCTGTACAAGATG